ATGAAACCCTGAAAATTGCTTCAGCATCTTGAAATTAAGCACCCAGTACTGAGAGACAACCCCCTCTCTTTCCCCGCCATTGATAAGTTTTCCTGCAATCTATTTTACTGTTATACGGTAGGGGGAGCGGTTACAGATCTTCTGACATAGTACAGCATTACTTGATCCAAAAGCAAGCGAAGAAGACCTGTGTAAACCAGACGGAGCAGATAGACGTTCGCTGCGTCCGAAAACTTAAAAATGCTGCCTTCGGATTTGAGGATGCATTCCAAGGTAGAAAGGCATCAAGGCATGTCCGAATCCAATGTTAGCTTAACTTTCTGTCTCCTGAGATACCTTCATCTGTTCGATTTTTGAAGGCAGCATAGATGTATTCTTCGCTGCATTTTATATTACACAATCCTATGCGTTCCATTCTGTGACTGTTAGGCTAAAAAATAAAAATGACATCTGAAAGTTGAGGTTGGTGGTCAGGTTGTGTGTAAATGTACGTTTTTGACCAACGTTTTCCACTTCTGATGTCATTTCTAGCGAGAAATTACTATTGTACCTCCAACATTTTACCATGCAAGCATTTATCTTATTCACAAAAAAGACAAGGACCCCTTAGAGCCCGCGTCTTATAGACCGATGAGCTTACTCAATGTGGACAATAAACTACTTGCAAAAATTGTAGCTACACGACTGGAAACAATCTTGCCGACAATCATTTCACAGGACAAAACTGGGTTTATCAAAAACACAGAGTTATTTTTTAATATTAGAAGATTACTAAATATAATTCACACTCAGGACAAAAAAAAAAAATCTACATCCTGAAATTTTAGATGCGGAAAAAGATTTTGACAGGGTCAAATGGGATTATCTCTTTTCGACCCTGTCAAAGTTCGGATTCGGCTTTAATATTATATCTTTGGTAACAACATTATATGCCCAACCCCAGGCTTCAGTGCAGACTAACAATGTGCATTCAAGTTATTTCCTTCTCATCTGCTCGACTAGACAGGGCTGCCCGCTCTCGCCATTACTTTTTGCAATAGCCATTGAACCCCTGGCTCTTTTATTACATGCAACGGAGTACATTGGGATTAAAAGGGGGAAAACGGAACATAAAGTTTCTTTGTACGCGGACGATCTGTTACTATACATTTCAAACCCTGTTAAATCTGTTCCTGTGATAATGGAAATTTTGAAGGAATTTGGAGCAGTATCAGGTTACAAATTGAACTTATCAAAAAGTACCTTATTTCCAATTAATTCCAAAAGCCCGTATGAATACTAATGTGTTTAATATCTTTCCCTTTTCAAACTCCACTGAATTTAAATATCTTGGGATAAATATTACGCAGGAATATTACGGCCTCTTTAAGCACAACTTTTTGAAATTATATGATCAAACGAAAAAGGATATACACTCACCGGCCACTTTATTAGGTACCCCATGCTAGTAACGGGTTGGACCCCCTTTTGCCTTCAGAACTGCCTCAATTCTTCGTGGCATAGATTCAACAAGGTGAGATCTGGTGACTGTGGAGGCCATTTTAGTACAGTGAAATCATTGTCATGTTCAAGAAACCAATTTGAAATGATTAGAGCTTTGTGACATGGTGGAAGTAGCCATCACAGGATGGGTACATGGTGGCCATAAAGGGATGGACATGGTCAGAAACAATGCTCAGGTAGGCCGTGGCATTTAAACGATGCCCAATTGGCACTAAGGGGCCTAAAGTGTGCCAGGAAAACATCCCCCACACCATTACACCACCACCACCAGCCTGCACAGTGGTAACAAGGCATGATGGTTCCATGTTCTCATTCTGTTTACGCCAAATTCTGACTCTAACATCTGAATGTCTCAACAGAAATCGAGACTCATCAGACCAGGCAACATTTTTCCAGTCTTCAACTGTTCAATTTTGGTGAGCTCTTGCAAATTGTAGCCTCTTTTTCCTATTTGTAGTGGAGATGAGTGGTACCCGGTGGAGTCTTCTGCTGTTGTAGCCCATCCGCCTCAAGGTTGTGCGTGTTGTGGCTTCACAAATGCTTTGCTGCATACCTCGGTTGTAACGAGTGGTTATTTCAGTCACTGTTGCCCTTCTATCAGCTCGAACCAGTCTGGCCATTCTCCTCTGACCTCTGGCATCAACAAGGCATTTCCGCCCACAGAACTGCCGCTCACTGGATGTTTTTTCTTTTTCGGACCATTCTCTGTAAACCCTAGAGATGGTTGTGCGTGAAAATCCCAGTAGATTAGCAGTTTCTGAAATACTCAGACCAGCCCTTCTGGCACCAACAATCATGCCACGTTCAAAGTCACTCAAATCACCTTTCTTCCCCATACTGATGCTCGGTTTGAACTGCAGGAGATTGTCTTGACCATGTCTACATGCCTAAATGCACTGAGTTGCCGCCATGTGATTGGCTGCTTAGAAATTAAGTGTTAACGAGCAGTTGGACAGGTGTACCTAATAAAGTGGCCGGTGAGTGTAGATACATGGAAGAATCTACCACTTTCATTAGCAGGTCGAATAAATATTATTAGAATGAATGGTCTGCCATAAGTTTCTGTTCTTCTTCCAATGTATTCCTATTTGGATAGCCAAGGCATTTTTTAAATAAAGATTCCCTTTTGTCATATTTTATATGGAATGGAAAAACTCCAAGAATCAAGAAAGTGTTCTTGCAAAGACCAACTTGTCTGGGAGGAATGGGATTACCCTGCTTCCGACGTTATTACTGGTCATGTAATATCCGCTCAATGTCGTTTTGGTTGTCTACTCAGGGGGCTGATTGGAGTAGGATGGAGAATGAAAGCTGTTATCCCTCCTCGTTAAAAGTATTACTTTATTCAGCTTTGCCTATTTCAAAACAAAAACTTGAGAACCCAGTAGTTTCTCATTCAGTTAAAATCTGGTCCCAGATTAGAATGCATTACGGATGGAGGGGCGTGTCAGCTTTAAGTCCATTGATAAATAATCACACATTTCCTCCGTCAGTCTTAAACATAACATTTCTTCAGTGGAAACATAAGGGTATTCGATGTATAAAAGATTTATTTATTGAAAATATATTTCCCGCATTGAAACAATTACAGAGCAAATACAAATTGGAAAGTAACGATTTCTTCAAATACCTACAGCTCTGAAGTTTTGTTTAGGGCTTATTTCCGTCTTTCCCTAATCAGCCCCCAAACTCCACAATGGAAACGGTGTTTTTGTCTGATCCATTTCAAAGAGGCCCAATTGCTAAAATCCCCAATGTGCTATCACAGGAAGAAACAACACATTGGACCATTTGAAAAGAGCCTGGCAGGATGACCTAGGGGTGTCTATTACAGACAATCAATGGTCAAAAGCCCAAAGAAATGTTCATTCTTCCTCTGTATGTATTAGACATGGTATCTTTTTTGCAGTTCAAGGTGCTACACAGATTGCATTTATCCAAATTGAAGTTGTCAAAGATGTTTCCTTCCATTAGTCCTTCTTGTGATAGATGTTTACAAGGGCCGGCCGCTCTTGCACATATGTTTTGGAATTTTCCTCACATTACGACCTATTGGAACACTATATTTCAAACCCTTTCCAAGATCTTGAAAAAACAGCTTAAGCCAGAACCAATCTGGGGTCTTTTTGGTGTGAAGCCAGTCAATGTACAACTTTCGGACACCCAAAACAGCACGGTTTGTTTTGTGACCTTGTTAGCGCGATTGATTCTCTTGTGTTGGAAACAGATAATGCCCCCTGCTCACTCAGCCTTAATGAAAGACATAATGGTTCATTTGAAATTGGAGAAAATTAAATATTTGTTGAGGGGGAAGTCTGAGATATTTTATTCAATGTGGCAAACTTTCATAGATTACTTTGGTGAGAATGTGTAATTGATTGGTTTAGCATGGCAATGGCAATGATGTCCTCTGATGTCTGTTACTGTGTTTTTTGTCTTTCTATATTTGATATGCAAAAAACCTCAATAAAGAGAATTTAAAAAAAAAAAGAAATTACTATTGTAGTAATTAAATATTTGGTTAGTTATTGCCAAAGCTCGCTCTATTTTGCTGTAGATCATTAAACCGTTATGCTGCCTAAGAGGTCTGTCCGAAATCAGTTTTGTGAGGTACCTTCGTGCGCAAAGGTGCCTACAAAGTCATTGCCTATAAGGCAGAGAGGAACACAATTCAGCTGCCTACGTTTTCGGACGCAGTCGTTGCTTACAGGCATGTTAGCTCAACAAGTAGGCTTACATCATCATCAAACATTCAACAGCATATAAATCAAAGTTACAGAAAAAAATATAGAGCCCAGCAAGACTTGCACAACTATGCAAGCTTTAGGGGGGTTGATGGACTCTATCTACTTGATCTATGTTTTGATCATCTTTTTGAATCTGATATGGACAAAGTTGTTGACAATAAAGTGATTTCCATAGCTTTTTATGCAAATTTTTATTTTATGAAACATTCAAGTATTGATAAAAAACAATGAATGAAACTAGAATTAATATTATTATTGTTGTTATTATTTATTATTATTTGTATTATTTTAAGCAGACGTTCTATTCTATCTTTTAATATATTGGCCTGGTTTCACAAACAAGGCTTAGATTAAGCCAGAGGTAGGCATTTGTTAAAATTAGGACATTTAAGTAGCTTTTAAAAATGTGCCTTAGAGAAAAACATTAGTATATTGAAAAAAAAAAAAAAAATGGCACTGACATATTTTAAGATAGAATGTCAGTGCAAGTTGTGTTCAGCTAGGACAGCACAGACATGCATTTTAGTCTGGGACTAGGCTTAAGCCTTGTCTGTGAAACAAGCCAATTGACTTTTTTACATATTTATGCAACAAAATATTCTGGGGGCCATGACATTTTTGTGAATTTGATTAAAAAAAAATATTGGTGTTGTCTGGCAACTTTAGTAAACACTGGCGGGGAAAGAGTTAAATATTCAAAAAGGGCAACAGCAACTGTTGAAAACCACCACTTCATCTACCACTTTCACACTGAGAATTGATGATATTGAAGAGCAATTCTTAGACAGGCTAAACATGACACAATAAACACAAAAGATTCCCCTGTGACTGAATGTGTGCATGCCTGTGTGTGAGCGTAGTGTCCCCAGCCTGTGGTCCAAGATTCTGGGATTTACTCTAGTATCCCGTGACCATGAGAATTGATGGACGGAATAGAGGGATAGATAAATTAGTAAATTAATCATTGCTCTGATCACACCTCAACCCCCCCACCAATGCCTGGCCATTTCCCCAAAAATAATTTTAAAACAAAACCGGTTGAAGACCCCTGCTCTAGGCTTTGGATTATCCGTTACTTTTGGTCCGTGATGTATAAAAGGTTGGAGACCCCTGCTCTATATGAAGCGTTTTGTCAAATTACTTTGGATGATCAGTTACAACGTTTTTTTTACCTCTTCGGACATCAGGGTTTGTTTCAGGCATATGCACATGAGCAAAAACGCAACCTATTTCCTTTGCATTCAGAAATGACAAGGCTTACAGAAAACCATCCTGTCAACAGGTACTCCGTACAATCAAAATGGATTTGAAGTGTTTAAAACAGTAGAAAAAAATAGTGCCAGGAAATCACAACCTGCACAAAGCTGGGCTAAAAAAACACCAGTTTCCTGTTGCAGACCACATTATGCTGTCTGACGTCAACACATGGTCTTAAAAAAAAAAAGTTGAAAAAAATTATTTATTTTTGGTCCTCTGTATATAAACTCAGCAAAAAATAAATGTCCCTTTTTCAGGATACTATATTGTAAAGATAATTTTGTACAATCCAAATAATCTTTATGGTTTAAACAATGTTTTTTATGCTTGTTCAATAAACCATCAATCATTTTTGCACGTGCACCTTAAGACACTAACAGTTTACAGTCCTCTCCTCCCCCTTTGTTCAGGGAACATTATGTTCAGTCATTATTCTATTTTTTTTTTAATCGTCAATTATCTGAGCAACTTAAGTTCATGTCTCAGATGTTGAATGTTTTTATTCAAATATTTATGTTCATATTTAAACATTTAGAAATCAGCTGGAAATAAAAGTAGTTGAAAGTGAGAGGATGTTTCTTTTTTTGCGGAGTTTCTGAAAACAGATATACAGACATTTTAAGTGAGACTTTGTAAATTACACCAAGCAAAATATTTATGGCACAAAGCTTAACGTGCAACTCAAAGCATTTGGCACTTGTATCAGTTGAGGTAGCAGTATCTCAGTACTCTATCACCATCTATTGACTGCAAAACAGAATACACTTTCCTTCTTTTTTTTTAAAGCACATGTGTCATAGACAGTTTTTCCCCTCTGAAATTCCTGCAATCTTTGGCATCTTAACTGAGCATTTTAAATGTCCCAATAACACTGATAGACAGAGATAAGAGGGGTAACCAGGCCGCTGGGTTACTCTTTAACGTCCTTGAGCACCATCACCTGAGACAAGGTTTTCTTGACACGTAGTGCTGTTAGCCGAGCAGCTGGATTGGCATGCCAGCACTCCCGCATGATCTTACCCATCACCCTCAGTGCCTAGAACAAACACAAACATACATGGGTGATTCTTTACTTTTGACTACTTGAAATCTGGAATATGTTTCATCTATGTGAAAACATTTATCTCATGTCCTCGTATCATATTCATGTGTGAATGTGTGTGTGTTTATGTTTAGATTAATTATAGTGTGGTCCATAGTCAAATAAACTTTGTGTGTGCATTCACCCAAGATCTTTGCTGCTCTCTGATTACAAATAAATTCCCTTTAAAAATTTGATCTTGCTACATGCTCTAAAATTCGGTAATACGTTTTTCTGTGGCCATGAAACGAAAGGCCCCGATATACTTCAAGAGAACTTGAAGAAAGAACTGGTGTGATGTAGTTCAGACTATCAGTATGATTACTGACTAAATGTCTGTGCTTAAAGCAAGTACAGCACAATGTTGGTGAAAGGCGTGCATTGCATGGACCTCACTAAACATTACAAAAATTACAATTAATTACCCACAACATTAAATAAAAAGGATAATGCTGTATAATTCATACATGAGAAATTACTGAAAATTATAATAAATTCAAAACAACAGTATAAAAATAAAAGCAGAAAACATTAGAAACATACACAGTCGCACTGCACACTAATTTGCATAATATATTCATAACGCTCGTGCCATAATTATCACAGTATTCATTTGATTCCTCCGCATTTTCTCCAAAATGCTCACTAAAGTAAAAAATGTTAATGGTTTGCTTACTCTTTATTAATGCATTTTGCATGACAGAAAAAGGGTTATGTCAAAAATAAAGTTTCCAATATTCTCATATGGTAATAGCAACTTCAATGATTTGACCTTTACTGACCTTTATAATCACTAAAAAGCTGGCACTCATCTTAGTTCATCACGATCTCACAAAGTTCCGTTATAATCAATGAAGCTGAGGGCACAATGAATCTCTTATTTAAATAATTGTTTGTTTTCATGTGAGAGTTTGCGAGCTTGCAGATCTTTTGATATGAAACAAAGTTTTATCAGAGATTCAAACAATAAATACAGTTTAGGTGCTCTCTTTAATGTGGCATGACGAAATGCTGTAGCAATCCCCATGTGAACTGATCATCCCTTCCTCTTTACTAGTTATAGCACGAAATAAACATGAATGAACATTGGAAGATATATGTTGAAAGAACCAATACAACTTAATGAAATGTATAATGTCTCATGTAATCACTCAATAAGAACCGTGTTGGGGACAAATGTGGGCAAATTAATTTTGATTTATTTTTTTTAAATACTTCCCTTGATCTAAACGGTACAAGACTTGGCTACATTTCCTAATTTTGCCACCTGAACACACACACAAAAAAAATGACTCGATTCTACAATGTTAAGTGGGTGAAAAAAAACAAAAACTCCTTAATCTTGTGTTCGTGGACAAAAATGGGCACCCATAGGAATGAATGGGAAAAACTGTAATTCAGAGCTTTTTTTTTTTTTTTGTCAAATAAAAATCAATAGATCCAACACAATGCATATCATACTGTACATACACACAAATGAAGGGGGGATCCTGTACAACATTCTCAATGTGGCAAACACTCACATTCTCACACACACACACACAAACAAAGCATTCAATGAGCCTATAACAGCGCCGTTTTTTCTTTTCTTTTTTTTCAAATAAAAAGTCACTCACACATACAAAAACAAAAAATGTAATGAGCCTATTACTGCCCTTTTTTTATGTTCCAATCAACCACTTGTGCACGCGGCACACACAAATACACACATGTAAACATTATAGCTATTTGATTTGATTTGATTTAATTAATTTATTTATTTTAATTTTGAACATGTAAAATAAACAATAATAATAGTAATGCAGTGAAAACTAATGAAAAAAAAACAGAAAGCTATGACTATGATTATTGTCTGTTCTTACCTGTTTATTCTTACCTTAGTTATTGTTATGTTTATTCTTACCTGTTTGGTACCAATTCGTTTTATGAGTTACTGAAATTTGATGTTTTTTGTTTGAAGTAAATGATAAATGATGTGCTACTTTGCCTATTCCTTATAGCATGGTCATATTTGCATATTTTGGCATCTTTTTATAGTCTCACCTAACACAGATATATATATTTTTTAATTACAATTTTAACTTGTGATAAAGTAAAAAAATTAGAGGTTAAATTCATTATAACAGTGGTTTATAGAGTTCTGCCTATATGCAGCCATTGCGTACTATAGCCGTCTTGGCTATTGGTATTACTGCTTTTTTGTTAATTTCATACCAACATAAGACACCAGGTGACACCAAAGTCACCACATTTTTAGGTTTTGGCTGTCTGAACTTACTGGAATGATTTTTTTTACTAAAGTTAAAGAAATATTAAATATATCGTAAAAATAAGCGTAATTTACATAGAAAATATGGTTCTTTTAGAGGAAAATAAATTCAAATATTCTCCAAAAATAAAAATCATCATCAATTGATAGATTAAATTTTATTGAAGACAGTAATATAACTTTTATAAAAAAAAAAAAAAAAATTGGATCACACCTGAGACCTCTGTGCCCAGATTTGTCCACAAACTGTAATGTGAACACAGTTTGAGGGTTAAATTGCGGAAAGACGTCAATAAATCAGCTTGTAAACAATATGTCACGTAATGTTACATTTAGTTCAGAAAAGCCAAACCAGAAAAAATATACTCTAGAGAGGAGCATTTTGCAACAAAAATCACTATATTACATATTCATTATATTTTTACTTTTATATCATTAAAAATGCATTAAAATAATATTTTATAAAATGATACAAATCAATTGTTAATTTTAACTTTTAATAATAATGTACCAGCTGAGTGAGCTGACAGGGTTCCTTGCGTTAGGGGTGGGCTAATTGGGCTTAAAGGTGCAGTAAGCGGTTTCTGAGAAACAGTCGATATTAGCTAACACCAGGGGCGTAGCATTTAGTAGGGACGCTAGGGACGTGTCCCTACCAATATCCCGTGACACTGATATATCCCTAGCAATAATTTCGATCAAAACTTAAACTATATTTATATATTGATGTCCCCGTCCCCACCAATTTCAAAATCAAACCTACGCCACTGGCTAACACACATTAAACAGTCAAACGGAATTTATTGTTTGAATTTCACAATAAAATGTTCAGAATTCGAAATCTGAGACTTTGTTTCATATCAAAATTAACAAAGCACAAAGCTTTATTGGATAATGGGAGGAGTGCTACAATGCTCTGTTCATTCATCAACTCAAAACAGCATAGACCAAAAGACTGATGGGATTTATATCAGAATCAGAATCGATATCAGTTCATAAAGAGGAGAATCGATTAAAATCGAGAGATCAATATTTTTACCCAGCCCTAGCGTTGTTCATATTTGCCTGTTCAGACACAAAGTTTGTGTTTTAGTGGCCTCTGCTTCGTGTGGTGCTGGACATGAAAAGTGACACAGAAATTACACTGCAAGAGTCTTGAACATAAATTTATATTATAATGATAACAAACTGAGGTCAGTATCCTTTACTTTCAGTGATTTTAAAACACATTGCAATGGCATTCCAAGTAAACTTGAAGTGTGCTAATGGCATCATTATTGTGTGCTTCAAAAACAATAAAGTAATCTTTATAAATAATGGCACAGTTTAAGAATTTGCCTTTTACTGACATTTATATATCCCAGAATACCAGTAACTCACTTATCCAGAGAACATCAGTGAGACAATGGGAACAGATACATGTACATTGAATGTAGGAAACACTACAGACTGGAATTGAACCCGGGTCGCTGCCACACAAGCGCACTCCATGCAGATATTCACCACGCAAAACTGGGGTTACTTTGTGTTCTTTCTATACTGTTACAAGCACTGCTATAAGCAAACAGATCTTTCCATCAATGACAGCACAAATGATATCGATTTAAAGATTGTAAATCGCCAAGAAAAGTCTCAATATAGGCGGTAAGCGGTGCGTAAAATTAAACGCGAAACTGTATAGAACACAAAAGTTCGTTAAACTTGAAGCTGTTGAAGAAATTAAGAATTTGGTACCATAAGGTACCAAAGTGTATACAGTAGGTGCATTAGGAATACACTAAAGTAATAAAACTTTTGATCAAGTACGTGAATTTCTTTTACCATTAGAAACTGACTATATTGTTTTCTTTATTCGTCATAATTACATATCTTTACTTTCGTAACTACTTTCTATATGTATGTAAAGCTGCTTTGCAACAATGCAAAATTGTGAAAAGTGCTATAGAAATTAATTTTAATGGAATTAAACAATGCCTGATATACAAAGTGTGGTTAAATTGAAAAAATAAATATCATTATTGTAAAACTTACTTCATTATTATGATTTATTTTTTTGGAACTCAAAACATATTTCCTGTAAACTTTTTATACTATTTTTATACTCAAGTAGAACTCAAATACAGTACATTGTATTGTACATTTAATCATCACAGGTCAACAAAATATTCAACAAAAATAAATTACTGAAGTAGTAAATATTTAACAAATTAAATCGTTTTATTTGCAAAGTCCTCATTGTTACATTTGCGCTGTATAGGCAAAAGTTGTGTTTGGAAATTCTGTCCTTACAGTACCTGTTAGCAGAAACAAACTATAGATGTTTCAGTTCATAGGCCCTACCTCACATTTTCGTTGGTTTGCACAAAAAGAAAGTCTCACTAAAAAAATACATATCTTAAAATAATAATAAGAGTAATAATAATAATAATCCCCCCCCCCGAAACGCGATTTTAATAAATTTTAACATATTGTCAACTGAAATGTCACATGAATGGTAAGTTTATCACACAAACCTCACAGCTCTGCCACTGGTTGGGAATGTTAGGTCGGAGTTTTTGTTCACACACCACCTTCCTCATATCATCCACTGATGGGTCTGATTGCACCTGGTCATAATAAGGCAACTGGAAATCTTCATGAATCCCTGCAGAGCACAAAGCATTCATGGTTATTTATTTACAATAAGTACTAATGAAAAATCTTAATTATTCTAAAAGTTTGGATGTGGATGTGAAACATCATGTATTTTATTTTCTTCCCTAAGGCCCTAACCCTAAACAGTCTTGATATTGTATCTCATAACCATTTTTTCTCCCCCTCTCTGACCCTAACAGTTGAACAAGCTGTTTCACGCTGATGTGTCTTTAAGACGTCTATGTATCTTCTATTTTTATTGGTTAACTTCTTTGCCAGCAAAATTAGTTGCTCTCAGTTTTATACTGTAGTTTAATATAGTTCCACCTTAATAACTGTATATATGTCCTTCAATAACAGTCTCTCCGACAAAACTTTTCATAAGGTTTGGTGACCTTTAGCACATGTTATCATTAGTTAAGGAAATACTTCCTCTTATTACCTCTTATCATGACTAGGTGACAATAGCTGTGTTTCCATTACAGATTTGCGCAAAACTTTTGTGATATTTTCTAAATGTCGATAAAGAACTATTGCGAAATGACGGCAATTCCATTAACCGATGTTAAGCGACTAAAACTTAATTTTTTCCTTTCGTGAGAAGTCATTCCAAAAATCATGGCAATGGATGTTGGTAGGTTTACGTGTATCCCAGTCACCGCACTAGCCATTATTTCTAATGGAAGGAGACGTAGGCGTGTTATCCATGCATTAATAGCCAGGAAAGACCCTTATACTGGGAGTGGCTCATTGCAAAAAGCATTTCGTTTCTCTCTTCAAAGCATTTCTTTGTTGTTTAGAATCCAGTTTTCCTGTAATACTTTTGTCTTTTATGCGTTTAATAAAGAACTCTGTCTCGTCTTCTGTCCAAACATACCACGCCATCTACGTCAAGTCAAGTCAAGTCATCTTCATTTGTATAGTGCTTTTAACAATGGAGATTGTTTCAAAGCAGCTTTACAGAGATAAACATACAATTTACAGTAACAGAGATTGTCATGTGACCTGTAAATGTGTAAAAACAGTTTCCATTGCAGTTTTGCTAAATATTCCTTTTTCGAATCGCCTGAAAAACCACCTCAAGCGAGCGTAAAAACATTTTTGCAATATATAGTTTTTGCGAAATTTACGTGTTTCCATTGGGCGTATTTTCAATTAGCAATTTCGTTGACAACCTGTCTATTCCATAGCGAGAGAGAAATATTTGGAGGGCTGAAGATGGACAAAAAACAAAACAAAAACACTTTTCTTAAAATACCTTCTTGCTCCAAAGTTTTATTATTTTATAAATGGGTGAACTTTCCTTTTAAGGGCTATCAATGTGATTTTTTTTATTTTTTGCATGACTCTCTAGAATACTAATCTGATTGGTCTTTCATGGCAGTGAGAATTCAAATATACCTGACAGTTATTCAGTGCTAATAAAATAGGTAATAAAATATCAATATTTCATGTTTATGTTTATTTGTGTATTGTTATGTAGCCATGAAATACGTGACATAATGTATAGTTAGGTGGTCATTTTTTTTGCAAAATAAACCCCAACATGTTCAGGATTCTGAAGTGATGCAGAGACTTATTATTATTGTTATTAGAGATTTACGTCTTTATAAAAATACAAATTACGCAAGCCATTTTAGTATAGAAGAAACCAATGAATAAGCGTCAATGAATAAGAACACAATTTAACAATTAAGAACAATTTAAATCAGTCCACTGCTGGTGTGCATTGATTGGGATCTTATCACACTGTTTTTTGTTTGTTTGTTTTTACTTGACTTTAAATATACTAGTAAGGTACCTTGGACAGAACATCTGCGAGCAAGTTCCCAGAACACCAGGCCAAGTGAGTATATATCAGCCCGCTTAAATGACTCAAAGCTGCTCATGTTTATAGAATCATCCAGGATCTCAGGAGCCATGTACCTGCAGAAACAAACATAATCACATTAGAGCAATGTACTCACACCACATGAACGCATTAACCTCCATCAAGATGTCTTTATACACCTGAAAGCAAACAATGACACGTGTTTTATACAGAGACAGAAAGTGCACACAGAGTTTACAGAGAGGAACAGAGAACACTCTGAGAACACATATACTAAAATTAATATTTAGTCAAACACACATACTGTACATGCAAAGATACAGATTCTATATCACTCAAGATGTCTTGAGTACCGAAATCCAAAGCCTAAAAGCAAATTATAGTAAATAGCAAAAAGCATAATTTAACCATTATAACATTTGTCTGCACATGCAACCAATGCTCTTTTACTTGTCTGTATTTACTGAAAGACAGTTGGCTACACACTACACTCATAGATCCATACTTAAGACCATCAGCATAAAGCCTGGCCAAAAACTGTCTACATAGACAGGAAGAGTCCATCTGGTTGGCATGTAAAACAACCAATCATGTTTTTTACATACTGTAGCATTTAAGGACAGGTAAATCGGAAATAGTATAACTCTGAGAGTAAATGTAAAATATCAAGGTGTGCTTAAGAATATCTAAGTGTCTCTGGGAAAAAAAAAACATATCTTTCAAATATTCAAAGGCATCAAACACACAAACTTTGTCAAATCCAGTGACTAGCTCTTCCACAGAAGTGTTCATTCTCAATACTTAAAGAAGACTATGTCACAACCAACACAACTATAGATAATAATAATCAGTTTATGATGTCTCAAATCATAATGACCTTATGTAAGAAAAGATTATCTAACCTCTTGGTGCCCACTCTGTGGTTAATGGGGATGTCAATGGTGTTGGTATTAGAGTCGTGTTTGACAGCCAGACCAAGATCCGCAATCACAGCGGTTCCGTTCTTCTTAACCAGGATGTTCTTTGACTTTATGTCTCTGTGAGCAATGGCGGGCTTCCCTGTCCCATAAGTAATATGCTAAATTAATAACAGCACACGTCATACACGACAAGTCATTTTCATGCAGAAAAGTAGTCATATTTAATATAAAAAAACAGATGGTCACACAGTTGTCTGAGCCTGGACAGTAAGAAAGCTACAGTAATGTCCTAAAAAAAGCAATTTTTCATGTTATGTTATGTTATTTATGTATTTTCTAACTAGCTGTGTTTACAATGTGTCATTTTGTAGACTGGTTGATTTCTGTGATGTTGTTGTAACATCAAATGTGTTCTGATGGGCTATGATTGTGTCACAGCAGTTTCATTTAGTGTGAACAGACCAATTATTTGTTACCCAAAACTTGTCTAATATGGATGGACACAGGATTAGGACGTTTTGTTATCATGCAGGCAATTAATCATCATTAATCATAATCACACCATGTTTGTTCATTTGGCCAGAGTAGAATTGGTTCCCTGACTGAGCCTGTTTTTTTTTCTCTCTCCATTCTGTCACCTGATGGAGTTTGGGTTCCTTGCAACTGTCGCCTTTGTCTTGCTTTGGATGCCGAAGATGCATTGAAAACCTACTTTGTGCAAAAAGCTAACATAGTAGCTGAACGCCACGCCTTCCATAAACTCTGTCAGGCACCTCACTAGGCAGTTTTCCAGTATGCTGTTGCTCTGCGAGAGCTTGTTTTTTCATATGAGTTCGATGCCAGTACTGACAAAATGATTTGCGATCAGTTAGTGAAGAATGTGCTTAGCCCAGGAATAAATGAGAGACCTTTACTAGAAACGGATCTCACACTGGACAGAGCTGTTACGATAGCAAGCCAGATTGAATCTGCTCCCGATCAACAGCAGAGTTTGGATGTGCTAAAAAATGTATACACTACGTAAAGCTGGATGAAATTGCCACATCTATGCGCCAACTGCCAACTGCTATCTGCCACTCTCTGTTCGTTGTGGTGTTTAAGAGGAATTAAATCCCTTGCAAGCAGCTGGGGTGATAGAACGCTTTTTGTTACACAAAAAAAAAAAGTTACAAGTTAAGGATGTGTGTGTTGACCTCAGAGAGCCAAATAAAGCAGTGATTGTGGACTCTTTTCCATTGCCACACATGGATGAACTTCTCTCTGCTCATCCAAGGTTCTACTATTTTCACTACCATCAACCTGACTAATGCTTACTACCAAGTGCCGTTACCTCACAGACTTTATTACTCATGACGGACTGTTCAGTTGGCTTCAGCGCCTGCAGAATTTCAGAAGATGATGACCATCATCCTGGCTTGCTTGAAGATCAAAAATTGGACGACATTTTCATCTTCGGACGTGACATGTCTATACAAGAAAAAGCACTTCAAGCGGTCATACAACGACTCGAAACTGCTGACTTGCAGCTCAATAAAGACAAGTTTCGCTTCTGGAAAACCAGCCTGCTGTTCTTAGGTCATGCTGTTTCAGCAGAGGGTCTTCTTCCTGATAAATTACGTGTACAGGCGATTCTCAATGCTCCTGCACCTTCTGATGCATCTACTTTGCGCTCCTTGAACGGTCAAATCCCACCCCGCTCCTCTCCATCCAGTGCCGCTGCAGAAAGTGGCTGTGGATATAGTCAGGTCCTTTAACACTGGTGCATTGGACTGCACTTTTGTTATAACATTAACTGATTATTATAGTAAATGGCCTAAGATCTCCTTTACTCTCACATTTTAACTACGGATTCTGTGGTTTCGTTGCTGTCATCAGTCTTCAGCCGCCATGGCAATCCATTGACTATAGTTACTCATAACAGTGTTTAGTTTACGTCAGCTGTTTTCGCTACTTTTCTGGAAGAAAGGAATATGTGTCACCATTGTTCCTCTCTCTACTACCCAGCAGCTAATGGTGCTGTAGAGAGGTTTAACCATGTGCTCAAACACACTGTTCAAATGGCCATCCAGCGACAGCAGCCATGGAAACCTGTGGTAACTGACTTCTTGCAGGTGTACTGTGCCACTCCACATGCTGCAACTGGTACATTTAGCTCCTCTGTGGCAGGCAAAGGTGCACAAGGCTGTCTATTTTGCCATCTGCTCCTGTGCACTCACCAACTGACATGACTGTTCACCGAAGGGTTATGCGGCTGTAACACAACCAGACATCAAGATATGACTCACTGACCACTGCCTGTATTTCTAACAGTTGTTCTGGCATGGACTTCAAAGACTATAGTGTGCCAGTTACAGCCAAAACCAGCCAGACAACGAGGTCTGCTTTACTGACCACTGCCTGCTTCTTTACTAGTCGATCTTAGCATGGACTCCAAAGACTATAAACCAATGTAAGGTGTTGTTGCTGAGTGATGTCCACAGCCTTTAACAGCCAGACCAGCCTTTTACTGTACATTTAAAATAAGGTATAGACTAAGTGCAAATAGCATTATAAATTATGTACACTGTGTATATAGTGTTAGAATACATTCATACTTAGTGCAAATAGGGGCAGATAATAGGACAATATCCTGGACCTTTGAGGACACCTTTACTGATCAGCAGATTCGGTATGGTTAGGCATATGGACAAGTAAGGTCTCATAAGGAGGATCCATTTATGATAATTTAGAGTATGGTAATAAAATGATCTGCACAAGTCATGGTCAATGGGCAGTCCGTCCGGTCAATGAAAAGAGATAACATATAATTTCAATTAAAGGCAGGGTAGGTAAAAATCCCCAAAAATACTTTTTTCCAAATTTGTTTAAACTGTCTTTATATATCAATGCATAATTAAAATGTAAGTAATCTGGAAAAGAAATTATAAAAATCGAGTGTCTGTAGTCCTCTCACGACTGCAATAAACACAGCTCATTATTCCATTCGGGACGAAAGAAAATATTGGCTGGGGCGACTGTCACTCTCCCTCGCTACCATGGATACCACCTCTGCTGATACAGGAGCAGCCCAAATGCGCGCACCCGTTTGAAGAGGCACGGAAGCTAGTAATAACAATTATGGCAGAGAAAGAACAGTCAAAATTCTCAGTACCTGCATATACAGGCAGCGAAGTCAAACAAGCTAAAAAAAGGAAGACAGTATTTGAAAAGGCTATGAACAAAAAGTCTTTGGATAAATCAAGAAATCATACGAGAGTCAATATCGACGTGGCTTTCCAGCGGTGGCGACAACTGAGGGATCTCAAGGGGCTGAAAAGTGACTCCATGATGGCATTATTTCTGCTGGACAGGCAATCTCGCTGTTTTCATTTTGATGGCATTTATTTTTTCATGAAGCATGTATCACTAGCACACGTAGCTACCTAATATAGCTACCTAACGTTACGTAGCATAAATGAAAGCGTAGCGTAAGTTCTGCCAGGAAGACTTAATTGTTACGTCATTTATTACCTTCTCATCTATCCAATCGCGTTCTAATACGTGAAGTATAAAAGATCCATACTTACACTCGTCTGAGTTCGCAGATGCTGACGCTTCCACTTACCACCATCCTCCCCACCTCCACCAAGACGGTCTTCCCTCCATCCTTCCCACCACCACCAGGATGGTCCCTTCCAAAACCCTAAGGGGGGTCAGCTGCGCCCTGCCTTCATCTTCAGGCAGGAAATGCAGAATCCGTACCCTCGGATCGCGAGTTATGGACGGGGCCTACGCCAAAGAACTTTATTGCATATATTGCTTGCTGGGCTGTTAATAAAATGCATAATTGTACAGTATCTTCTCTCCCGAGTCTTTCTGGTAGAACTAACGTTACACTGGCTTAGCTATGACAGTGTAACTTTGGTGTCGACTGTTATAACGTTACTGTTAGTGAGCCAGGGTTGAGACGATAAATAATCAATAGGCCTATCTGCAGTTGAAAGCTGTTTTGTTTAATTTCGCCAAATCTAACTTTAGGTTAAAAAGTTTAGGGGATCTGTTTATATACCTAGCTTTACCCTCTGCCAAAACTTTGTTCCTATGTTCGCAGTGAACTCTACCTGCTCCGTTTGGTTTGTTGTTATATGCTCTACATATGTTTACCTATGTCTTTATGTTGTATCTGTATGTGTTATACAATATATGTTGTGTGTGTGTGTGTGTGTGTTATATTATCTGGTGTCTGCAATGCAGTTGTGAGAAGGTGTTTGAGTGTATGTTACTCAGTTTATCTGTAAACAATACATCAGAGCCAACAGTGCTTTCATCGTGGAAGCTCTTACATGCAAAACACCTGTATATGTTATGATTCTTACAAATTCACCTTCATCACAGTGTAACTGATAGTAACGGCAAACGTGTATCAACGAAGCTATTTATAGCTTTGCCTTATATTGAGTTTGATTCGGTTACGAGCTAGTAAAATATTTTAAACTTTACCAGTATCGATATGTGAGCTTGATAGTGTGTACTAACAGCCATGTTAATTGTTTATATTCATACTGATAAAGTTAGTTATTTTATTACTTGTGATTCTGACATGATGTCACTATGCACTGCGCTCCTCTCTGCTCGGCGCTGGTAAACGCGTCCGACCCTTCCAGCTGAGCGAACGGCCGGGATCGCGCGTTCATGTGTTTTGGGGGCGTGGCTTTGGAAGGAGCCGAGAAGGGAGGGGGTGGGAGTTAATGGAATAATGAGCTGTGTTTATTGCAGTCCTGAGAGGACTACAGACACTCGATTTTTATAATTTCTTTTCCAGATTACTTACATTTTAATTATGCATTGATATATAAAGACAGTTTAAACAAATTTGGAAAAAAGTATTTTGGGGAATTTTTACCTACCCTGCCTTTAAAGGCCCAATAAATACCTCTATAAATATTTCCATTTTTTATATATTTTCTTTGATTTTCTTCTAAATTTATGCTCTCCCAGCTGATATGTGATGGAAATAGAGTGGGTTCACAAAAAGGCGGACTCAAACTCCGGTCAGTCACATCAAGAGACCTATCCACTATCTTTACTCTCCCCGCCACTACTCCTGTTTCTGATCTATTTTGTAATTTAGTCTGTGAAGTTAGCGTAAATAGACACTGTTAAAGATATGTGTAATTGTTCAACTGTTAATTGTAACAATTAACTAGTATTACCTGACTAGTCTTACATATGAATTACATATTACATTTATTCTATGATCAGTATTACACATGTATGTAACTAAAAAAGTAACAAAAAATAAAACAAAGCACTAAAAACAAAAGCACTAAAACAAAGCACTACTGGAATGCTTTGCCAGAGGAGGATATACTTCCACTGCTGAGTGAAGGTTTTATCCTCCAGAGAAACTAGACCAGAAATGAAAAAAAAAAATCAACTGATGCATATGATCAACACCTTGAGTGCCAATAATCTCCATGTGCAGGTGGGCGATACCGCTGGAGATGGACAGTGCCAGAACTATCACTCCCTCCACTGATACCGTGTATCTGTTCAGGTAATCAAAGAGAGACCCATGCTCATGATATTCAGACACCAGCCACAACTGTGTCCATGAGCCATTATCTGAAGAAAGACAAAATAGACAGATTACAATACAGGACACCCAAACATGATGGACAAGAACATCCAAAGTGATTTGAAAATATATCTCAAAAGGCAAGTTTTGATTCAATGACAAATGTCAAGAGGTATAACCATCATGAAAAAAACATGTTTTCATGGAAAATTGTAATCATTACTTTGTTTAAAATGTTTTCAAATACATGTCTTTTTATCAACATAAAAAAGTATTTATTCCTATCTGTATGATTTTTGGACTAGGTCTATGCATTTATAATTCAAAGGAAAAAAATCTGGACAAAGATGACTGTCATATCATTGATCATTTAACAATGGTCAGGTTATCAGTGCTTGCTTTGAAACTAAAGCTATTAAAGGTAAACTACCCAAAATATGACAATTCTTTTATCATTTACTCACCAAACAGTTTTTAGGGTTTCTTTTACCATTGATTTCTGTTGTATGGACAATAATAATAATAATAATAATAATCATCTTATATGTGAAACAAAATAAAGAAAGTAAGGGGAGTAAATAATGACAGAAGTTCATTTTTGGGTAAATTATCGCTTTAAGCTTGCATTGGTTTGGTAACCTAAAGCAGTGCTTCTCAAACCTGTCCTGGAGTACCCCCAGCAGTGCACATTTTAGATGTCTCCCTAATCAAATACACCTGATTCAACTCATCAGCTTAGTAAAGACTCCAAGACCTCAGATGGATATGTCAGATAAGAGAGACATCAAAAATATACAATGTTAGGGGTACTCCAGGACCAGGGTTGGCAACCACTGAACTAAAGCATGTGGCATGAGGAGTAATAGCTCCATTAACTTACAAAATGTCTGAGTTTGGTATGTAACCTTAGCTCATTGAGTAGGGAACGAGACATTGCATCAGTAGCTGACACTATGGCCCTGTTTAAACCACAGCATTTTCGTCGATCCGATCACAAGTGGACAACGCAGAATACAGGTGGTAAACGAGGTCTAAAAAAGTTTGAGCTTGTCCACTTTCGACCATTTTCAGGGGTAGTCAAAATTGCATTCAGATTGCTTACATGGTGTAGGTCAAATGCGTTTGAACAACCACAAAAGACAGCATACTCTATGACTACTACCTAATGCGTAAGCATTATGGGAGGCATGCTGGCCAAATTTAAAATTTGTCGGCTGAAGACCTAAGTTTGATTTGAAGATGAAAACAGTACCAAGCACAATGTTCTCTCACCATTCCTGATTTCTAACACGCACTCACCACGTTCACTGTGGTCTTGTGGCTAGAAACAAAATCTGCTGCTCTCTGTATGTATTTCCCATCATCTCATATGTAAATTATACAGGCTTATTTTGTCCATTTAATCAAAAGATCTGAAAAAAGCTCATATACCCCTCCCCTCAAAGAAATCTGGACAGAAGTGGTCGAAAGTGGACACAATAGACAGATTAAAACACCAAGTGTACATGTTAGTGTGTCTCCCTTGTCAACTTGTGATCTGGTCTAAACATCTACCGGTAAATACCAGGTGTAAACAGGGCCTATGAGAACACAACGGGTCTTTAGCCCATATAGATTCATGCAATATGACTGGCTGATGGTGCATGCACCGCCCAATAAAGCATCATCACCAGTGCACCAGTGGCAAATGGGTAATGTATTGTGTAATATTAAAATTTGTGTAATAATTGATGTCATTTTGGGACAGATACACTGCCGTTTAAAAGTTTTGGATCGGTACGATTTTTAATGTTTTTAAAAGAAGTCTCTTCTGCTCACCAAGGCTGCATTTATTTTATAAAAAAAAAAAAAAAAAAAAAAAAACAGTAATATTTTTTAAATATTATGACAATTTAAAATAACTGTTTTCTATTTTAATATATTTTAAAATGTAATTTATTCCTGTGATCAAAGCTGAATTTTCAGCATCAGTCTTCAGTGTCACATGGTGCTTCAGAAATCATTCTAATATGCAGATTTGACGCTCAATGTTGAAAACAGTTGTGTACCATTTTTTTCAGGATTCTTTGATGAATAGAAAGTTCAAAAGTACAGCATTTATTTGAAATAGAATCTTTTGTAACATTATACATGTCTTTACTGTAACTTTTGATCAATTTAATTCATCCTTGATTAATAAAAGTATTGATTTCTTTTATTTATTTCCCCCCAAAAAATAAAATAAAAAATATTACTGACCCCAAACTTTTGAAGGGTAGTGTGTAATGTTACAAAATCTTTCTATTTCATATCAATGCTATTCTTTTGAACTTTCTATTCATCAAAGAATCCTAAAATAAAAATGTAAATAACTTTTTTCAACATTGACAATAATGAGAAATGTTTCCTGAGCATCAAATCATCATAGAATGATTTCTGAAGAATCATGTGACACTGAAGACTGGAGCAATGATCCTAAAAATTCAGCTTTGATCACCGGATTAAATTACACTTTACTATATATTCACATAGAAAATAGCTGTTTTAAATTGTAATCTTTTTGTATTTTTAATCAAATAAATGCAGCTTTTGTGAGCAGGAGAGACTTATTTTAAAAACATTAAAAATCTTACAGATCCAAAACTTTTGACTGGTAGTGTATGTTTTTGTGGCTTGTATGGATGAAGTGTAATTGTACAGTGAACTTGTATGTTGACCTGCTCTCTCGATTGCCCAAAACAAAAAGTATCCTAATGTAGAAAATAAAGGATGAACTAACTAACTAACTTATGTGGTGTTTTCATTCTTGCAAATTTTGCAGTGCAGACAGTCTGACAATTCTTTATATGCTGCTTGAGCAGAGCCACACACTTACAAAATGCCATTGTGTTCCCCCAGAAAAGAATAATTCACTCAATGAATCCAATCAAAATGATGAGTTCAATCAAATAGAACAAAAGAATGACACACTACAAGGGTCAGATACACTGTTTCCTGAAGAAGAGAAATCTGAGTAATGGCCAAGCAAATCCACTAGTTACACATGCCTCAGTGGGTGGTGCAAGTGGCATCAGCTAGTCAATTGATTTGATTCTATACAGGCTTCAGACAATCATCACACCTGGAGTGTGTTTCCATAGCATCAGCTACTGACGCAGCATCAAGTGAACCTATAAAAATTATACTCCTGTCATGAAATATTACACAAATATTTGTATACAATAAAATTATTACTAAATATGTTTCTTGTTAAATGCAAGAAAACAATTCAAACAAACAAAATGCCTCGTTCTTACATAAATTTGCATGCATTAATGTGATTTTACACCAAAATCCCTTCATGTGATACCTTTGTTATCAGCGGCGATAAATCCCAAAATATTCTGGTGACGTAACATTATTGTCTGATAAATCTCAGCCTCACGAAACCAGGAGCGTTCATCTCGTGATGAGAAGATCTTCACAGCGACATCCTCCCCCCTCCATTTGCCCCTCCACACTTCCCCGAAGCGCCCCTTTCCAATGCTTTCCTGGAGGACAATGGTTCGAGCAATCGTTCTCTGGACCAATAAGGGCAATCCTAAGAGAATAGCACATAAACTGTCAGCTAAAGGGTTAACAACAGATATATGTCCATACGCCTGTTCAAATCTCACTCACTGCAAAAGACAAATATATATATTTATGATGATTCATTAAAATCATGAAATCATGTCTAGCTCTTCAAAAATTCTGTCATTTACTCATCTCATGTGATTCAAATATACACTGTTCCAAATTATTATGCAAGTGACATATCAGCAAAATTTTCAGTACAATAAACATTCAGATTTTACTTTTTCAAAAGAAAGTGCTTGTTTTATTTAAAAATTGTTTGCCAGGTTAGCTATGTTAAATAGTTTACCAGGTATTCTTAGTTAAATGGAAAACCTACTTAAAGAGATTGTTCCACATTATTAAGCAAGTCACTGTTTTCATGCAATATGCCCAAATGGGGATGGCAGTATGTGGAAAATACATCCTAAGGACTCGCCAGATGGGAAAGAGTCCCTGTGGAGGGCTCCAGCTGATGAGGGGGAGACTACCGGCCACAACAATTGGTGACGGAGCTAGCTCCATCCAGGGGAAGACACTGGGTTCACCAATAGGGAAACTGAACAATGGAAGAATGCATCATATAGGTCACCATTAGGGAACCACTACATACGGAGCACTAGCCCGATTACCCTGAACCCTGAAAGGGCTATACCACGAGTAATGGGCCTGGTGGTGAGTTCCTCCACTGAACTCACTACCGTCAAGTGCTAGGAGGTAGAAAAGATGTTCTGGATCACCAAACCTAGGGAAGTCTCTGGGACAAAAAGGTGCACGTTACCACCTCAGAAAGGGGGAGGGCGCCTGTGCAAGCACTGCACACAACCAGTTGTCCAAGTTTTACCTGTTTGTTACCCAAGACTCAAGACGAAACTAGTTCCATAGGGAGATTATAGAATCTTGTGAAGGTGTTGGGTATAGCTCAGCCCGCAGCTTTACATTTGTCTGCTAATGAAACACTGCGATACCCCTAGTGGAATGAGCTCTCACTCCCAAATTGCACGGAGAATGGAGAATTGGCCCACACAATCCAGTGGGCCAATCTATGTTTGGATATATCCTTCCCCTTCTGCAGACCCCCAAAGCAGACAAAGAGCTGCTCAGATCTTATGAAGCTCTGTGTGCGGTCCAGGTATATGAGCAAGGCGCGCACTGGACACAACAGAGAAAGGGCTGGGTGTCCCTCATGAGGAGGGATTGCTTTAAAGTTTACCACTTTGAGCACATATCCGGGACTGGGTCTCAGGACCATGTGAGAGTGTGTTGGCCCGAACTCCAGGCACAAATCACTAACAGAGAAGGCTTGTAGGTCCCCCAACCTCTTGATGGAGGTCAGCGCAATCAGGAGATCTTCATAGAGAGGGGACTAAGCTCAACTAATTGTAAGGGCTAAAAAGGGCTTGTAAGATCTTTCTGCAAGGCATGTAGGACCAAAGAAAGATCCCAAGAGGGGATGAGGCGAGGCCTTGAAAGATTCAACCTCCGTACACCTCTCAGGGACCTAATAATCAGGTTGTTCCCCAAAGACCTGCCAAGCACAGCAGGATGGAGGTGGACAGGCATTTCTCCAAGCCCTGTCTATCCACCTTGGGAAAATCAAGAAAGTGTTCCTTCTCGGCATCCCGCATCTTGCCAAGGTTTAGCCATAGGTAGTGCTCCTGGACCACAAGTGTGGACATCACCCGACCCAGGGCCTGCACCGTAACCTTCGTAGCCCGAAGGGCACAGTCGGTTGCCGAATGCAGTTCCTGCATTACCTTTGTGTCAGAACCTGGTAGATTTGCAGGATGGCCATTGCATGCAGGGCCGACTTACAAGCTTTGGATAGGAGCCTCAGACAATTACTTCAAGTGGCGGCATTTTGCGGGCAATAATGAACTACAATTGCACGCTCAACCTGAGTTGAGTACCCCACCATCGTGGGTAGTGAGGACGGAGGAACCAGAAAAGAATGTTCTGGCAGAAAAAGGTGCCTTTCACGACTTATCCTCGTGCACGGGAAGAACGGGACTGGGGCGGAGGGTCACTCAATCCTGATGCTCGCGGCTGCCAACTCGGGTTCCCCCGAATTAGAAATTAAGCTCGCCTGTGGGCGAACCGCCTAACTCATCCTCAAACTCGACCGGGGAACACGAGCATGCTAAAGGAACGAGAGGTCCACAGGGATTCACCTGGAGGAAACTCTCCCATTGTAACCCCCAGATTGCCCTCAGAGCTCACCGCCACATGACCCATCCACAAATGTTGTTTCAGCAGGAGCACAGCCCATTCACTGAAGACAGTGCTCATGGCCATTCTGCAACCAGAAGGAAAAGGAAGGAACACCATCTTTAAAAAGACGCGATCTGCCGTGCAGCTCTTTTAGAGAAATTCGCTCTTTTATTAAGGAAATTGCCTCTTTCAGATCACCACTGATGGACCCAGGGGAACTCCCTGCACTTGTCTGTGCAACACATTGAGAGTGACCACTGATGTGTGCTCTGCTTCCAGCAGCAGTTACAAGGTTAATGGAAATATTGCTTCTCATGAAGAGACACTGTGCTTAGGCTCCAAAGAACAAAGTTGAAGTGTAAGATGCACGCCAGCCAACTTATATACCCGTATGTATGTCCGGGGGCATGGCCAGACATGCAAATTCCACATGCCAATTCCATTGGCCTTTTCTGAATAAGTCAGAGGTGTTTGGGGCACCCAAGAGTGACCCCTTGTGTCTGTATTGCGACACAACCTCGAAAGTGACCGACAGAAAGGGAGCTTTGACTTGCTTTAAAATGTGGAACAACCTCTTTAAGTAGGTTTTTCATTTACCTAAGAAGACCTGGCAAATTACTAAACAAACCTGTCTGAGATTGATACCAGTTATCTAAAAAGATATGGTAAATAAAACAAACAAACAAACAATTTCTTTGAAAAACTAAAATCTGAATGTTTATTGTATTGAAACCCTGATATGTCACTTGCATAATAATTTGTAACACAGTGTATTCAAACATACACATATAACAAAACAAAACATAGAAGTAATCCACATGACTCATAAATATGACTCATCTCAGATAAATATGACTCATCTCATATGATGTCATACAAAGCGTTGTATGAAGAACAGATGGAAATGTACATTTAGCAGGCACTTTTATCTAAATTAACTTACAGTGTGTGCATCATTTTTATGCAAGTCAATATTCTTATCATATTTTTTCCAAGCACATTTTACCAATTCCAAACCACATCAATCTTAATAACTACTATCAATTTTGTATATAATCGTTTATAAGTGATATATAATTGCTTATGTTCAGGTAAACTCTCACAGGTAAAAGTGGACAAAAAAACAGTTTTAACTCATACTGAAAAGTCAGAAACTATTAAATGCCCATAAGAAGAATGCAGACTACAGAAATTGTACAATAAAGGTGTGACCATTGGACAGCAAAATGCTCATTGGGTCAGCAGGGTCACACAAAAAAAAAACAGGTTAAGAAGAAAAGATGCATGTTAACTGCAAAAGACATTAGTTCCTGGTGGTTTCACAATTATTTTCCTTAATAATATTGATGGTATTTTATTTGTACAAAATATACTTTATTTTGATGGTCCCTTTTGAACGTGCTGTTGACTATAAGTAACTTTTTTTCCAGAATTACAAACTACCTGGAGTCTTCAGAAGTACAAGGTGTCAGTTTCTCAGGGACTTGGCTAACTGTGCGTTCACACTGCCGCCGGCGAGAGCCAAAGACACCATAAATAGATTTGTGGACGCTCTGACATAGATCAAATGCTTTTTTTAAACTTTATTTAAAGGGGCCTCAAAGCAAACAAGCATGTTGATCGTTATTTGTGCAGACTGACCAAGTAGGGTATTTAACCTCATGGAATCTTTTAAATGTGAAAGTAAGAAATTGATCGATGGAAAGAACTTAACAATTATAGTGACATATTTGTTAACAAAATAAACCAATTAAAAGCCATTTGTGTGGTGTGGCTTTTATGTCCATGGTTAGGTGCTAATCTAATTTACATTCCCGCTTAAAAACAAGCGTTCTAGCACAAAAATGTTGCCTATAAATAGTGTTGCGCACCTTCTTATCAAATTTATATGATCAACCTCTCCTCTATTTTGCTTGGGAGCTAATGTGGTCGGAACCAAAGTTTACGTTCTCTGGAATCCTCTCAAGCGGAGGACTTCTAAATTCCGACTAGTTGCCGCCGAACCAGCGCCAGTTCAAGTCAGACCACAGCACGGTGGCGAGGGAGTCATGGTGCGAGCTGCTACTAACAATGAACAAGACAGACCTTTCAGGGTAGGAGCTGGACTTGATGAACTCCAAAAACTTACTGCCAGATCCTGGAAGATACATTCTTCAAACAGTGGTACAAAAGGAAGTGGTGCTGTTAACAATGATATATCACCTATAAATGACTAATTATGTCATGAAACTCTAGATGGCGCAGGCTGATGGGTCGTTAATGCTGATGATATTTACAGCGTTAACTACTTGGCACAAGCTGATTGGTACATGTCGCATCTGCAGCCAATGAGCTTGCTGATTAACATTTAAATGGCTGTTTACCATACACTATAGCAGTTTGCACCGCGCTTTCAGAGTTCCTCTCTAAAACTCTCCACTTTACCCAGCTTCACCTGTATAGATCTGCTATGGGTAATTGATATGCTATTTTCTGCAGCAGCAATATGTCTTACATACTAACAGCAGTGTATCGGCATATGTATTGGCAGTAGCAAGTTCCTGTACTTGCTCTGCAGCAGCAGCAGCAATAATCAACAGCAGCAGCAATAATCTAACAGCAATAATCAACAGCAGCAGCAATAATCGACAACAACAGAAATAATCGACAACAACAGCAATAATCAACAGCAGCAGCAATAATCGACAACAACAGCAGCAGCAATTCAGCAGCAGCAGCAGAGCAGATCTATTCCGCCAAGACCAAATACATTAACATTGTCATATCCATTACCATGCTAAAAATCTTCGGAGAGTTGTCATGATAGAAATGATTCTATATGTATATTTATATACAAAATAAATATAGTTGTTAAGATTGATGTGGTATGGAATTGGTAAAATGTTCTTGGGGGGGGGGGTGGAATACTTGCATAATATTTGTGCACGCACTGTATAAATGAGGAACATCATCTGACTAGAAGTCATGTCATGATACATTCATGTCACTTTTATGGTGATTTTTGCCAATTTTGGAGCTTAACAACATTTGTTCTCATTCACCATTATACAGTTTTTTTTTTTTGAAGGAATAAAGAAATTCAACTGGTTTGGAATCACATGAAGGTGAGTAAACAATAGAATAATTTTCATTTTTTTGAGTAACCTATTCTGCCATATTCATGTTATTAAGAAAAACATATGATAACTAACATTTGGGTACTCTGTTTTTTGTTTTTTTGTGCACAGCCAGCTCTCACCTGAACCAGAGCCAGAGGTGCTCATGTCATAGATGAGCTCTTTCAGGCATTTGTCAGGTGACACCAGAGTATGGTCATCCAGGGGTTCCTCTGGATCCTGTTTGTGGGCTTTAATGTGTGTGCATCGCAGGTTTTGTACGGCACACATTCCCAGAACGACACCTACACACACCAGGCACGACGGCACAAGAATTACTGCTGCTAGTTCCAGCTGACTCCAACCAGACCCCTCAGGTGGCGGCTCTACACCAACACACACACACACATTTGTTTCAGTATATGAATGAGGACATCACATGCAACATTTTTTTATATGGTGATGATACTATAATAATAATAATAATAATTCGTTACATTTATATAGCGCTTTTTCTGGGACCTCAAAGCGCTTCACATATGGAAGGGGGGAATCTCCTCAACCACCACCAATGTGCAGCATCCACCTGGATGATGCGACGGCAGCCATATTGCGCCAGAACGCCCACCACACACCAGCTTATTGGTGGAGAGGAGACAGAGTGATGAAGCCAATTAGTATATAGGGATGATTAGGAGGCCATGATGGACAGAGGCCACTGGGCAAATTTGGCCAGGATGCCGGGGTTACACCCCTACTCTTTTTCGAAGGACATCCTGGGATTTTTAATGACCACAGAGAGTCAGGACCTCGGTTTAACGTCTCATCCGAAGGACGGAAGATCGTGTAATGATCTATCTGTCTGTAGAGATTGTGTAACTATCTGTCTGTCTGTCTGTCTGTCTGTCTGTCTGTCTGTCTATCTATCTATCTATCTATCTATCTATCTATCTATCTATCTATCTATCTATCTATCTATCTATCTATCTATCTATATCAGTCATTACCAGATAAAAAATTTGAGCCTATTCGGAAGTCTGCTATAGGAATTGTGTAAGGCGGATTAGTTTGAAAATATATAACACGAGCCATACCAGCCTGAACGTTTGCGCCATGTTTTGTGTTTGTAGCTCTAGGAGTTACTCTTGAAAATTTAGGGCCTCTGAATAATAATACCGGTAACTAGATTAAATATATTTTGTCATGGCAAACCGCGGGCGCCTCTGACGTGCGACCAATGAACTAGCCCTACGTCATTACACGATCTTCAGTCTTCACGGACCTTCGCGGGGTTTAACCAGATGGTTACAAGACTTCCACCAATCAGATGCATCACTGTGGGATTGTGGGATTGTTCAGGGTTGTGGGTAATAAAGTACTTATCCAAGACATCGCGAAAAAAAGGCATTTATCTTGAAACAAGGTTAGTGCCCCATGAACTTTTGCCGTTTGTATGAGCATATACAATCGCTTAGTACAGCCGTAGCTGGTTTTAAGTCTACCATGTATGGTTACGTTTACGTTCTGGCTGTGGGCGGGACTGTGATGCTCTATATGTGTCCAACAGGTTGATAAGAAGGTTTGCTTTGATTTGTGCAAAGTCAGTAATTTGCCCGAGACACTATACATGTGTAGAAAGAACTCAATAAGACGGGCAGACATGACTGCAAATATTTGTATTTCAAAAGCAATAATTGTTTTTCTAAGTATAATAAAAGGAAATGTGCCTTCCAAAAAAACATTCAATATCATATTGAAAATAAAAAGGATATGAGCAAATATAAGTATTACAAATATGTGGTATAAGGAAAAGAAAAAGAATGTTTGTAAAATGAAGTATCACAAAGATGTTGTGTATAAGGAAAAGACAAAGAAAGTTTGTAAAAATGAACTTCAACTGTCAGAAGGACAGCTCATGAAGAACCAATCATGTACAGAAAGGAATGTTCAAATTCAGAGGAACAGTTCAGAAGAAAGGTTAATAATAAAGATTGAGAATATTGGATCAGTTGTGCTCCTTTTTTGGAATACTTGAATACTATTTTTTTGTGGAATACTTGATGCAGCCCAGCCTGACTCAGACTCTACCTCCAGCGGCCCCCAGTTAAGTTGAGTTTGAGACCCCTGCTATAAGAGATGAAGAATTGTCTAAACTTGTTAAAGTGACGTGACGTGTAGCCAGAGTGTGTGCTCTGCATTTCACTTATCCAAGTGCACAGACACAGCAGTGATTATTGAACACTAACACACACACCGTGAACACCACCCGGAGCAGTGGAATATCACCAAAATCAACAACATGTACAGCATGTAAGAGCCTAAACCTACTAAGTTACTGAAAGGAATGATTCCAGAAGTTATAGAGCCTCTTCTTACACTGAACAAAATTATAAACGTAACACTTTTGTTTTTGCCCCCATTTTTCATGAGCTGAACTCGAAGATCTAAGACTTTTTCTATGTACACAAAAGCCCTATTTCTCTCAAATATTGTTCACAAATCTGTCTAAATCTGTGTTAGTGAGCATAATTATCTTTGCCGAGATAATCCATCCACCTCACAGGTGTGGCATTTCAAGATGCTGATTAGCCAGCAAGATTATTGCACAGATGTGCCTTAGGCTGGCCACAATAAAAGGCCACTCTAAAATGTGCAGTTTTATCACACACCACAATGCCACGTCGCAAGTTTTGAGGGAGCGTACAATTGGCATGCTGACTGAAGGAATGTCCACCAGAGCTGTTGCCCATGAATTGAATGTTCATTTCTCTACCATAAGCCGATTCAGAAGATTTGGCAGTACATCCAACCGGCCTCACAACCGCAGACCACGTGTAACCACACCAGCCCAGGACCTTCACCTCCAAGACCGTCTGAGACCAGCCACCCGGACAGCTGCTGCAACAATCGGTTTGCATAACCAAAGAATTTCTGCATAAACTGTCAGAAACCGTCTCAGGGAAGCTCATCTGCATGCTCGTCGTCCTCATCGGGGTCTCGACCTGACTGCAGTTCGTCGTCGTAACCGATTTGTGGGCAAATGCTCACATTCGATGGCGTCTGGCACTTTGAAGAGGTGTTCTCTTCACGGATGAATCCTGGTTTTCACTGTACAGGGCAGATGGCAGACAGCGTGTATGGCGTCGTATGTTGTATGTTATGTATGTTAGACCCTATACCGACTAATCTATTGAAAGAGATGCTTCCAGAGGTCATAGATCCTCTTCTTAACATCATTAATTAATCTTTGTCATTAGGATACTCGATCCTACATAATTAGTCAATTACAGGCCGATCTCGAATCGACCTTTTCTGTCAAAGATAGTAAAAAGGCAGTATCCCCACAACTATGTTCCTTTTTAGAAAGTAATGGTATCTGCGAGGATTTTCAGTCAGGATTTAGACTGTACCATAGTTCTGAGACAGCTCTCATTAGAGTCACAATTGATTTGCTCTTATCATCCGATCAAGGTTGTATCTCTCTATTTGTGTTACTCGATCTTAGTGCTGCATTTGATACCATTGACCACAACATTCTTTTAAACAGACTTGAAAATGATGTTGGCATTAGAGTAATTGGATTAGCATGGTTTAAATCATACTTATCTGACCGTTATCAGTTTGTAGTAGTAAATGAAGAGATGTCTTATCGATCAAAAGTTCAGTATGGCGTACCACAAGGCTCAGTGTTCGGAACTTTGCTGTTCACTCTGTACATGCTACGCTTGGGAGATATCATTAGGAAGCATGGCATTAGTTGTCACTGTTATGCTGATGATACTCAGCTCTATATTTCTTCAAGCCTTGACGAAACTTACCAATTCACAAAATTAACGGAATGCATAGCTGATATAAAAAACTGGATGACTAGTAATTTCCTACAACTTAATTCTGAAAAAACAGAGATTCTAATTATTGGACAAAAAACTTCCTCACGTAATAACCTAGAATACTGTCTAACACTTGATGGCTGCTCTGTCAAGTCTTCGTCGTCGGTTAGGAACCTGGGTGTGCTCTTTGATACCAATCTTTCATTTGAAAGTGTACGCCGAAGGGTACGCGTGCTACACATAGCCTACGACGTAACTAAAAACACATCTCTTTGACCTAGCATACACATAACACATTATATACTTCTATAATTCAATGTTAGGCTGCATAGATTAGGTCAGCCGGAACCGGGAACACTTCCCATAAATCCTTGTTACATCATAAGAAGGATGGCGTCTACGCTAATACTAGTCTCTCTGTTTATCCCGAGGTTTACCGCAGTCCGCCGGATCTTTTATCACCACATCTGATGGTAAATGGACTGCATTTATATAGCGCTTTCACAGACCCAATGGCCATCAAAGCGGTTTACATTTTGCCTCACATTCACCCATTCACTCACTCATTCACACACCGCAGCAGTGTCAGCCATACAAGGCGCCATCCAGCTCGTTGGGAGCAGCTGGGGTTAGGTGTCTTGCTCATGGACACCTCGACACTTGGTCAGGTGGAACCGGGGATTGAACCACCAACCTTCCGGTTTGTAGACAACCTACATGAACCACTGAGCCACTGCCGCCCATATGAATGAAGGACCTGCGCCTGAACCAGACGACATTGCAGTCCTGAAGTGTCAACAAGTCTCTCCCTTGTGAAGGCCTCCTTCCCTTCCCTTTACCTCTGTACTAGAGATGCGCGGTTGGCGGTTACAGCTGCGGACTCCGCGGATAAACCGCGGATCGGGCGGATGACGGGACGAAAAAAAATATTTTAATTAAATTCGGGCGGGTGGCGGGCGGTTGAACCAATCAAAATAAAATAAATCGAGCACACTTTGAAATAGTCTAATTTTCATCAGCTCGAGTCTATGCAGAGACTGCTTGTTGTTATCAGAGATGGCAACGCCGGCGAAGGAGGTACGTGACAAACTCAAAAAAGGAGAATTAAAAACAAAGGAAATAGAAGGTCAGAAAAGTGTTGCCTGGAATAAGTTGTGCGCTCTCTTGATATGCGCCCGTTCGATATTGTTTCTGGTAAAGGATTCCACCAAGTGGCCCAGACGTTGATTGACATTGGAGCTAAATTCGGTGCTGTTGACGCTGAACGAGCCTGTTCTGAAGACTCCCGTTAATTTTGAATGCACGGGAAGAGAGCGGAGAGCGCGTCTTTTTCAGGCACAGTGCAATTCATTTTATACCATCAACAGGCCTAACAATCATATAATAAACTATAGAGCCTCGATATTAAAGAAACGCCGAAGTCACTATAGGCTTTTTCGTTGGTGCGCCATCAGCTATGAAGATGAAGATACAATTAATACAAAACGAAATTCGCTTTACAGAAAGGCTTTGTGCTTTTTTGAGGCCTCTGTGAAAGTTTGAAAGTCTTTTAGTGC